ATAATGGGTTGGATCTAAATGATAGGTATTCATACATAGATTTCTAAAGTTTTCGAATACATCGGATAAAAGTAAAACATCTGTTTTTAAATACAAGTTTGAATAATCTAGCATATTACAACAACCAAAGTGCTCCCAAACATCTTTAGCATGATTGTAATCATCGTTTGAAATATGGGAATCTGTGAGTGAACTAAAAAAATCATTTTTATCAGGGAGCGATGTTAGCTTTAAACTATCATAATTAGTCATAAATTCGTATGGATAAACCCCTTTCCGTTTTAAACGAATGAAATCTTCATCCTTAGGGAAATTTCTACGTAATTCTTGAAATTGATCATTACTGAGATTTTTGGCTAATTGATCTAATTTACACGATAAAAACTTAAATGAATCCACGAATCTCAATATAACTTCATGATTATTTATTTTAAATTTTTTGGAAAAGGATATATATTTTTCTTTATTTTGAGGGATAACATCGATTTCGCCATCACAAAAGTTTAATGCATGAACAATAAAATGAGCATCATAGTGACTAAGGTTATGTAAAAATATTGGTATATGACGTGGTGTTCTGAATTTCGAGCTACATGATTCATGAGCCACACCTATAAAACTACCGGTGTACCAATCAAAACCATAAAAAGGTTCTGCTAACTCAACTTCACAAATATGACAAATGGTTGCATTTGAAATTTGGTGTTTGTTTTCATCTGTTAGCGGAACTGAACATTTTTGAAATCTATTTTTTTGACATATTTCTTTCAAATTGTTAGATAAACTTTCCATAAACACTTGTGCACAGTTGGGTCCACTATATGTTACATATTTCGATAATTTATCATCATATGAACATTTTATATAATAACCAAAACTATACACTTCATGTTTCTGAATATTATGTGTGAATGGTTTGGATGGATCGTTAGAACATGATTCTATTGGTTTTAAAAATGCTTCAAAATCAGCATAAACTACGAATGGTATCTTTAACTTTTTTTCATAACTATCAAATTTAATTTTATCATTTGAAATAGGTTGACCAAACCAATTCTTTTTTAAAGTTTCACTGTTTGGTAATTCTGTGCAAATGTAAGCACAATCATGTTTTTCATGGTTATTTAACCTTTCCTGAGATGGAAAATGAAGTAGACACGCATCGCAAATGTACATAGCATGACAGTCTTTTGAAATTTGTTTACTAACTAACCGTGATAAATTCTTTATGTAACAATAATGATTGTTCGTATCCTTAGAAAAATATAATAAATTGATATGTCTAGCTTTACGACACTTCGTTAAAAATAATGGACCTACTATAGAATTACATCGTTTTTCTTTATTATATTCTAACCCAAATACATTAATACTAATATCATTTAACTTCTCTACTTTTGCTATGTCAGTAATTTTAACAGGAAAGGAAATACCGTCAAATTTAAGTTTATTTGCATGTATAGCGTACGATGATACCCGATCTGCGTTTTTGTTTATAGGATATAATGCTGAGAGTAACGCCCATTTAAAACAAAAATAATCTTTGTTTTTTACATTTAAAACAGCCTTTTTTAATTTTATATCATGAGGAAGATCTATGTATGAAGTACCGCGAAGGGGGTTGAATTTATTGACATTCATGTCTATAGATTTTATGTTTTTTAGACTCCATCCACTATCTTTTTTTTTCGAATGCACTAATTTTACTAGTAATTGTATCATTTAAAGATGAAAGAAAAATATTTAAGTCATCTCCGGTGCAAATAATATAGGTAAATGTTTGAAAATCGAACGTTTTATGAATATCTTTAGTTTGCTGAACAAAATCAGCATGCAGTATGAAATTTACTTTAAAAATTGTGTGTTGATGAATACACTCCTGTATTAAAAATAAAATATCATCTTTAATAGAATTAAAAAATAGTTCGGGAGTTTCAAAATTTAACGGTTGTAAACGATCTACTCTACTCTTGATTTTATAACATAAAATTCTGTTTCCAAAAGCAGATTCAATAACACTTACGTTTGATAAAGAATTATGTGCATTTAAAAGATTATTTTTGTGAACATTACTTTTAAAATGATTAGTTAAATACCTTTTCTTGATCAATATATGACACGTTAAACATTCAACTTGATCATCGTTACCGACACTGGTCCCTACAGAGGTAGACGCTTCTTCTTCAGTTCTTGGTTTCTTAACGATCTGGGGGTCTTCACTACTCGTTCGCTTCATTCCTCTACCAAGTTGTAGTGGTTGACTGTTAAAATGTTTTATTTTATTAAAAAAATGTTAAACAATGTGTAAATTATAGTTGAAATTTATGTTTATTTTACTTACTTGAGCAGGGTTTCAACCATCGCACAGTGATTATACAATTCTTCATCATATGATGAATCGAACAGTTCACGTTTCTCTATTTCATCACAAACTTTATACATTTTTTTTATTTTTGACGCCACTTCAAAAAAACTGATCAAGCGCCGGCGATTTCCTTTTTACACCATCGCGTGTGTTATTAATCACGATGTCATCACTCTGTTCTTCGCATTGAGGGGAGAGTGACGAGTAGTAATACTGTTTATATGTATTTTCATCGAAGTTGAATGATTTCTGCAACAACACAGTTATCATGTTAATATCAATTTATTTACGCTTATGAAACACCACACACACACGTTAGGAAACAGAAAGAAAAGAAAGTTTGTTAATAGAATATAAACACTTACCTCCATGGGTATTGATGAGCTGAAGTAACACACGTGTAGTATTGGTAGACTATATGCAATTCACTGCGGTCGAGCGACCATAGACTGATTGCATGCCGGCAGTTGTTCGACCTTATATAGTTATTTCTTATCTAAAGCAAATTCCTAAGCACACGAAAATTTATGACCCATCCCTTCGTAGCGCGTTATCTCACATCCCTTCGTGGCGCGTTATCTCACATTCCTTTCCTAAGCACACGAAAATTTATGACCCATCCCTTCGTAGCGCGTTATCTCACATCCCTTCGTGGCGCGTTATCTCACATTCCTTTCCTAAGCACACGAAAATTTATGACCCATCCCTTCGTGACGCGTTATCTCACATTCCTTCGTGATGCGCTGCACAGTTAATGTTTATGTTGCTAATAGACTACCCATGTATATTCATGTACCAACGTGTATAATATGCAATTTGGATACGAATGATAAACCAGTTCCATGACTCATCACAAAAGAATGCGATTTAATAATTAAAAAGCACTATAATTGAACATTCCTAAGTTATCCATTGAATAGATTGGTACTGTATAAATGTACCAATAGCAGTAATATCATGGATACACTAGATGTTCAGCGACATATGAAAAAGATTCATCCTAGTCTAGAAAATAATGTTTATGCTGCTAATAGACTACCCATGTATACTCATGTACCAACGTGTATAATATGCAATTTGGATACAGATGATAAACCAGGCTCACACTGGGTAGCTTTACATATCGATACGAATAGCATAGGTGAATATTTTGATTCATATGGACGAACACCTACACGATATCATCTAGAGTTTTTAAAAAGGAATTGTAAAAGATGGGTCTGGAATATTAATAGGATTCAGAATGATTGGACTTCAGTATGTGGTGAATATTGCTTAATGTATTTGCAATATAAGTTTCAGGGATATTCAATGTATAGTTTTACGAACATATTTACAGGGAACACATTGTACAACGATATTTTAGTGGATGAGATGTTCCGCTCATATTTTATAGAGAACTAGCAAACCAGGCCCACTTCGCTGGGCGTAAGTTAAAAGAAATTAAACGGGTTTTATAATTTTAGATTAATTTAAATAGTTACTCCATAGAACCTTAGGTATCTATCAGTGAAAGACATACAGACAAAAATTGTAAAAACTGTTTTTTTGATGTTAGTATGTTATATACTTTGATATGTGTTTAATTAAAAACTGAGAATTTGAAATGAAAAACAGACACTTCAATGTTATGTATGTGTATAGATATGTAATAAAATTATGAAATGAATAAATAAAAATTGTTAGATGAGTGTGTTTTACTTATGATTTAGAGTAGCATGGTAGTTGATGACCAATAGAAGTATACAATCAAATCAAATATTATAAAATCATATATTATAAATAGTTATTTCTTACCTAAAGCAAATTCCTAAGCACACGAAAATTTATGACCCATCCCTTGTTAGCGCGTTATCTTCGGAACAATAGATAAGGAGAGCAACGGAGCGCTAATGAGGGTGCGAGGCCACCGGATATCAATCAGATATTTCCTAATTGATTTCCACATCTCCAGAACCGCGCATCGTACGCAAAAATGGATCGCAGATTCGTGATCAGAGCATGCCAAAACCTTTTTTTTTTTTTTTTTTTTTTTTTTTTTTTTTTTTTTTTTTTTAGGATCCGTAACTCGAGAATCGACCGTTGCAAAACAGAATCGTCCGTGAGTTAGCCCGTCAGTACCGAGAGTAAGTTTGCCAGATTGCACCGGTTCTGGCTCACGAGCCAGAACCGGTACAAACTAACTACTGATTAATAAATTTTGCAATGCTTCATAGTTTGGGTATTTGTCGCCGTTTAAAGCAACTTTCTACGTAATTAAAACATTACTATATATAGGTAATATATCCATAAAATGAACGTTTTGATAAGATTGATTGAATTAATTTATTAATATTTAACTTCTCCCTGCTGAGTCCATTATCTATTTGAAAAATAAAATAAATGTCAAACCGTAGGTTTCAAAACGTCAATTGTCAGATGTCATTATGTCACTCGCAATTCGCAATTTGTCAAACAAGTTACAAAGTTGAAAGTTGGGTTTTTGAATTACGAGGTATAATCCTCGTTGTATTAAATAATATTAATATTTATTTTTAAATAAAATTTTAAATAATTTTTTTTTTAAATAAATCTAAGAAAGTATTATATTAATATTTATGTTTAAAATACAAAACTCTTTCAAACAAGTTGAACAATGAACTTGGAATCAGTTGTAGAAATTAAACAAGAAAAAGATGACTGTGTGGAGGATAAGAATGATAATTACTTACGAATGGGATTCGATATTAATGTAAAAGTTGAGGATGAAGCTGAGATAGACGAAGATTGGTGCGTACAAAACTTATTAGCAGCAGAAGAATTTGAGCAATCTATAAATTATAATGATTTAAAAAAAGACACTTTGCAGACTTGTATAGTTTGTTTACAATTTTTTACTAACAGGTATGTAATTGAAAAAATGTATTAATAAATAATATGTAAAAATTTTTTTAGAGATGTAAATTTGTTTTAATTTATTTTTAGTTACTCTCTCTGCAAACATAATTTAACACACTTAATAGTGCCATTAATAAGAAGAAATTTTTTCATTTGCAATGATTGCCCTAGTTTTTTTTCTAAGAAAATTGATCTTGAAAATCACATAATATTGTCACACATAACAAAGAAAAAATCTGAAGAAACTAGAATAACAAAACGAAAACACACATGTGAAATTTGTTCTAAAACATATACATACAAATCTTGGTTTAGCCATATGCAAGAAGTGCATGGACAGTTAAAATTAAAATGTGATAAGTGCAATGTTACATTCAAATGTGAACGATATTTGAAAAGGCATAAACTATACATCCACGACGGTCTTAGACCTTCTTGGAGATATCATAACATTCAATCCGATGAAGTAGAATGCTCAGAATGTTCAAAAAAATTTTGTAACAAGCATTCCTTAACAGCACATATTCGTAATTGTCATAGTAAAGAGAATCATCGGTGTAAAATATGTAAATCAGTATTTAAAAGCAAGACATATTTAATGGTCCACATGAGAAGAGTCCACTATAATGATGGAAAATTCCATTCTTGTGATATTTGTGGTAAAATGTTTAAGTCACCGAGATATGTGAACATTCACATAAAAAATTCACATAGTTCTAAAGCACAATTAGCAAGAGCTTTAAAATGTAAATAATAACATCATGTTGTAAGTTATTTTTTTTGTATGAAATTAAGACTTGTAAGTTTTTATAGTTTATACAACTTTTTTCAGCAGTCTCAGAAAAATATAAATGAGATGTCATTCGATTCGGCTTATAAATGGCTTGTAGATGATTTTTGACAAAAATCAAATTCCTCTCGCAAAAATTGCAAAAGTTATAAAAAAATAATTAAAAAAAAAGGGTTTAGTTTTTTGCAAATGTCTCAAAAACTTATTGAGTTTTTCCAAATCTAAAGAGGAGAAAATTTCCTTAAAAAAGTTACAACTCCCGGAACTGTAGGACCAATATTTATAATTTTCAAGAGAGACGAATATATGGCCTAAAACTAAACTATGCTCTGGCTTGCGCAATCCACGCCTACATCGGACATTTTATGAATAAAAAGCATTTTAGCATATCTTTATATATATAATTCTTCTGTGAGTGTGTATGTCACTGAACTTCTCTCAAACGACTGGACCGATTTTGATGAAATTTTTTGTGTGTGTTCAAGGGGATATGGGAATGGTTTAGATTCACAATTTGAATAATAATTTTCATCAAAAAAATTATTAAAAAAAGTTTGAAATTTTCAAATTAAAGACGTGTAGACAGGACAACGTCTGTCGGGTCCGCTAGTTAAATATAAAATTTAAGAAAAAAAATTTAAGGTTTTAGTTGATAGATAAATGAACAATAATTCGCCAGAAACATTTTTTTAACACAATTCAATTAGTTACGCAATTGTGAATCAATAATTATTTTCTTCTTGAACATGAACATTGCAAGTGTGATAATTGTTAAACTATAAATTTGAGATTGTTTTTCCTTTCTTGGAGCTATTCTTCAAAGGCTTCAAAATAGATCCTCATTGGAAAAATTAAAAAAATGTTAATTTTCACTTAATATTGCTGACATGACACTGGTGAGGCGGATACCTGCGAATTAGGCGTCAACACCTCTCCTATGTTCTGGAGAACGGTGGTGAGTTGGGTGTTGGATGTGATGATATCTTCCATGTTGGTATCTAACATTTCTCCCGGGGGAGAAGCCAACTCCTACTGGGCGCGTCCCCTAGGTGGCGGATAGGGGAATACCGGAGAAATCTGTCTGGAGTCTAGGCCTCGAGCCGAAAGCGTTGCGTCCACCGGATGATGGTGCCGGTTGCGGGACTGTGGTCGCAGGCCCGCATCTGGCGGAGGGGTAAGCCGCGGCGGGAAAGGAGTGCCAGTATTTCGGTGCGCCGTTCTCCCTACCTTCCGCGGCCTAGACGGGGCCGCGACCGTTTGATGGCGGACGCGGTGGGGCTGCAGGGGAAGAGGAGTGTCGGTATTTTGTTGCCGCTCTCCCTGTTCTCTGCAGCCGATTGGAGGTCTATCCTAAATTTTTGAATTTGTCCATCTGTGTGCCCATCTGTTGGCTGGCATGCATAAGCCGCCTGAGGTTCCTCCTCGAGCGGAACATCACTCAGTCCTTCAGCAGTGAAGAACCGGAGATAGATCGACTCGTGGGAGAATGCAACCCTGCGGTCTTCTGCGAGGATCTTGGGTATCTCATCTCTGGGTAGTCCCAGATACAGGAACATCCCAGGATGATCTCGCTTCGTTCTGTCATAATGCGTTATCTACCAGGAGCTAACTGTATATTTCCGACGGTTCTAATCATCAGAATTTTGTGGAGAAAATCTGTGTCCCCTTGGTAATCAGGGACGTAGAGTGCTGCTTTGACGTTTGGCCTGAGCTGCCGTTGTTTGATCAGGGTTAGGTTAAAGCCTTCCCTTGGGGCCTTGAACGTAGGCACGATTCCCTTTAGCCAGGTAAGTGTTTTTTCGTCATAGCATCTTAGTTTCACCACTCCTTCATGCAGGGCGGTGCGGCTTAAAAATTTTGGGGCGAAGGGTAGCTGTGAGGGAATGGCGGAGTGGTTTCCAGCTTCCAGCGGTGAAGATAGCCTTTTGTAGCTGGTCTTTTATATTGGTTGCGTCAACTTCCGTGAGGTCTGTGCGAGGGTTGGTAGTGATGGCCACGCTCAGGTGTGACAGAGCCGCCTGTGCGTAGCGACCTTCACCATCCCTTCTAGTGCGGTTTGTCCGGGGACGTATCGTTTTCACTTTCTGTGAGAACGTGTCATCTGTTGTCTCCCTTTAACTTACTTTGTGTATGCTAGAGCCTCCGTCCGAGATTTCACCTTCACTTGTGCTGCTGTTCAGACGTGGTCGATTGAGCAGCGACTGGCGTTGGTTCACCTGGGTTGGGGCCATTTTGTTGGTTTTCTATTTTTTGGTGGGGTCTGAGGTGCCAGAGGAGCTTTTTCCGCCGGAACTCGTCGGGCGGGCAGTCCCTGGTTCACTGGGACCGCCCTTATATCCCCGAGTTGCGCGTACTCCGGCCTCCGGTCCCTTTCGGGCCTCCCACGGTCTTGTGTGTCATCTTTTTTTTTTTTGATTTGAAAAACCTCAATTACTTTTTGAGATATTTGCAAAAAACTAAACCCGTTTTTTTTTACTTAATTATTTATAACTTATGTTTTTTTATTTATATTAAAAAAAAAATCTACAATCTATAAGCCATTCCGAATCAAATGACACCTCGTTCATATTTTTCCGAGACTACTGAAATAGGTTGACCTAAAAGGCTAACTAGACCTAAGACCTAAAAGGTTGACTAGACTAATATATTAATGTTCCTTAATATATAAGATTTAATTATTTAAACAAAACTGTAACTTATTTTTCATAAGACACTCTCACTTCAAAGTTATTAAAATAAAAGAGTTTTTATATTTTCAAGTTATTTTAATTTTATACCCTAATATTTATAACAAACACTAATCTATTTTAAAATAACATTAATAATTTATTCTGCTGTTTTCACTTCTTCATCATTAATCTTTTGTTTCTCAAACATAATTCTTAACTGTTCTGTGGCTGACATCGGCAATCTATTGTTTGCACCAAATTTAGGATCGGGCAGATTGGCTATATTTAGTTCTGGGTCTTTAAAAGTGAAGGGAGTCCAAGGCCCCTGGACGGAAGGGTAGTCTGTATACTGATACTTCCTGAGACGTGTAGATGCAATATCACCTTGTTGAGTTCTTAAGACTTCTATCCATTTCGTTATTTCCGAGTGAGTTTTATTGTGCACACTCATCCATACTCTGTCCCCATTTACTAAAAAAAGATTATTTTATTTAATAAATATAAATGAAGGATTTAAATATAATATTATTCTTGTTGCTTTAATCAGTGTACTATAGATTATAATTACTAGCTAAGGCTTTTTATGTAATATGTGGCTCCACCCACGTTCAGATGACCAAAACAAAATTCTTAGGTTTTACATATTAGTATACTCTTACATTACAGTTTTTGTAATTTTTCTCAGAGATGAGATATTTTCCTGCGATAAAAAGTAACCTATATGTCTACCCAGATAACCAGCTATCACTATACCAAATTTCATCAAAATCCCTCCAGTGGTTTTTCTGTGATGCGGTAACAGACAGACAGACAAAAATGCTTAAAACTATAGATTCGGCCTCTGTATCGATAATAATGTTTATTTCAATAAGATTATCCAATAAATATCTAATGTACAGTTTCGGCTTAGTTACAATTTTATAATATGTAAAGATTAAAATTTAAAAATAATAAATATTTTAAACGTGAAAGAAGGACAAACAAACAAACACACTTTCACATTTATAATATGTATTAAGTATGGATATATATACTGTAAGAACTTCTTGGAATAAGTAATACATACGGTATTCGCCGACCACAACTGGGCCCCGATGTCTGCGGGGCTTCAAGTACACCACAACACTGGGATTATGCCTCGCAAATTCTACTAGATCCTGTTCAATGAAATCTCTGGAATTATATGTTTTAGCACAATTTATTTTACGTTTACGATTAATATTAATTCTATAATTATTATTTATTATTTTTTTAAACAATAAAAATATAATACCTTAATCCACGACTAGCACCATGGCTTTTACAGAATTTAAGCACAATTCTTTGCAACTGACATACGTAACGACCTACACCATTTTGTATCGGAGCCCTAACAAAGCCAGACTTTAAAAATAAGTTTTTATTAGACATTTTCACACAATAATAGTGCTATTGCAGAACAATTCAAAGACAAATATTAAAATTTAAATATTAAATTTTTTAGGTTATGTGATATGTCAAAAATGACGTTTGAATTGACATAATATTGTTGCCAGATATGAAAAAACCGAGAAAATTGTTTTATTTAAAATGTCCGATGTAAGCGTAAATTTAACGTTGTTTTATCCATTGGCACGCTTTGAAGTAGTAAACAATAGAATTGAATTAAAAATGTATTCGTATTAAGCCTTTTTTAATATCCCACTGCTGAGCACGGGCCTCTCTAATACGAGGGGAATCAGGTCATAATCCACCACGCTGTTCTATATTTATTACTACCGACTCACCCTCACTTCGCTCGGGTTTGTCCCTAGGTAAGTTTTAAATTAAAATGGATATAGTATGTTATCCTTAAGAGATAGACATAATATGCCATCGTGGAATTTTCTGTAGACCTAAGTATATAAAATACACAATTGCACCATATATTATTTTGTTATATCTCAAAGGGTTTAGGCAGCGTTTTCGTTGAAAGCTCCCAGACGTCTCATTTTTTCCGACACCTCCAACAAATATCGTTATATTTTAGCCAATGTAAAGAAAACTTAACAAATTATATACTAAAATCTTCCTCTTGAATCACTCTATCTATTAAAAAAAACCGCATCAAAATCCGTTGCGTAGTTTTAAAGATTTAAGCATACATACGGATATAGGGACAGAGAAAGCGACTTTGTTTTATACTATGTAGCGATAAGATAGTAGACTGAAAATGTTTAGAGGGTCACCTCGCTGAGGGTATTAAGTTTTATTACAGATTCAAAATATTTCACACCTTTTTTATAATTATGCCCAACGTATCTTTTTATTAAAGTTAAATAAACAATATTCGTTAATATTTAAATTCATTAATAATTAAAATAAATAAATTTAGCATATTGGAACTTAGCATTTGTATAATTGACAAAGTCTGCTATGTTGATAATTGCGAGTTTAATTCCCGAGTGGAGTTACAATATGAATATGATGTTTTATTTAAAGAATCGGCATCATCGGAGGGGGTAGAACAGTATAAAAAGCAATTTTTTGGAAGTTCTATTTGTGTTTTTGTAAATAGAACATAAAAAAGAATTTAAAAATTAATAATAAACACTAATAAAAATCTATTAGTTCCCACGGGAACCGTTCATTTTTCCCGGATGAAAAGTAGCCGGTTGTTTGACCGCCAATATAAGGTATCAGAATGTTAAATTTTACTAAATTAGGTGCATAAGTTGTATAAGTTATAATAGTTTTTTAACTATCCCACGGGAACCATTATATTTTCCGGGATAAAAAATATCTAAGACGTTGTCCGGGGATATAAGGTACCACCATGCAAAATTTCATTTAAATCGGTCCAATAGATTCAGAGATTAGCCCGTACAAACAGACAAACAATATCACACGGGAACGCAGTCGAACGGGATAAAAAGTATCCTATGTCCGTCTCTGGGTTCTAAGCTACCTCCCCGCCAATTTTCAGCCAAATCGGTTCAGCCGTTCTGGAGTTATAAATAGTGTAACTAACACGACGTTCTTTTATATATATAATATAGAATAAATATAATTCTTTAACATAAATAAAAAACATAGATTTTTTAAACTTTTATTTAAAAAAATGTAATATTTACATCAAAATCACATGAACAAGTAAATACAACTTTATCTTATGACACGGGATTAAAAAATATTTAATACTATATATTGCACAAAATGTTAAATACTGAGTTCAGGACCGGATTGAGACATGTAGTTTCGATGTAGAATCATTTTCCCCCATTTTAATAACTATAAAACATAATAAAGGAGACATTTTCGAATAATTCATCCAATTTTAAGCAATATAGTTATACTTATACCTTTCACCGGTCCTAACTGATGTGTTAAAAGCAAATAATAAACATAATTAACTAATGACCAGTGTCAAAAATATTAAAAAAAAAATGTATATGTAGACTAGCAATGTCCACCCGCGTTCAGATGACCAAAAACCAAATTCTTAGGTTATATATTAGTATACTCTTACATTGCAGATTTTGTATTTTTTCTCAGAAATGAGATATTTTCCCGCGGTAAAAAGTATCCTTTATGTTGACCCGGATAACCAGCTACCATCATACTAAATTTCATCAAAATACCTCCAGTGGTTTTTCTGTGATGCGGTAACAGTCAGACAGACAGACAGACAGACAGACAGACAGACAAAAATCCTAAAAATTATAGATTCAGCTTCTGTATCGATAATAATGTTTATTTCAATAAGATTTTCCAACAAATATGTAATGTACAGATTCGGTTTAGTTACAATTTTATTATATAGATTATGGAGGATAGAGGTAACGAGTCTCTTAAATGGAAGACATGTTGAAAAAGTTTCCATCTATATACTGTAAAGAGATGGCGAAATTTTACAATATGAATATAAATATAGCTGTTATTATTTGTGTTGAGTTTAAAAAAAAATCATGATTAAAGTATTTAATGAAATACCAGTATACAAAATCTCAACTATTTACGTAGTCTATACTAATATTATAAAGAGGAAAGATTTGATTTTTTTGTTTGTTTATTTCTACTAAATAGGCTGGACCAACTGGACCGATTTGGATGAAATTTGGTATGAAGATAGTTTGAGATCCTAGGAAGGACATGGGATAGTTTTTATCCCTAAAATAATCCTTTAAGGGGTTGAAAATGGGGATGAAGTTTGTATGGGGAATCAATCTAGGGTCGAACCCGAGCGAAGATAGGGTGAGTCGCTAGTCTAAAATAATTTAGTAAACCATTCTTGAATATTTCTCTATCTTACTCTGATTGCTTTTGGCGCTTTCTTTAAAATGTATCCTACGCTACCGCAGCGCAACCCTTATCGGACGCGTTTTGAGACACTTTTTCATACACCGAGATAGCACTCCATATATCTACCCTCTATAATATGAACTAAAGCCTGTGCCATAAAATCTATACATACAAATAAGCTATTGAGATTCTGGCAAGAAATGGCAGCTTTTTAAAAAAACAGCACAAATATAAAAAAAATGAAAACTTAAAAAAAATAGGATAAAACTATCTTCAAATGCGTTTTTTTTTATTTAAAACGTGATTGAAACACTCGGAATCCCATTAAAAGTGCTGTGTTAAAGAAGTCGATATATAATAATATGTATATTTTAATATATTATTAAATTAAACTAGCGTAAGAATTAAAATCATTGCACTTTGATACCCTTTTCTCTTCTTTATAACTACACTATGAATACTAAAGAGTATAAAGCACCATAGACAATCATTATCATAATAGAGTTGTACCATAATGTACTAATTCATTCATTTGAGAAAAAAAAACAAAATCCGACGGTCTTTACACAAACATTCTACAAAAGGTGGTAAGAGTTTTTTTTTATAAAAAACGTATATACTTTAGGACCGTCAATTTTAAACTCATATAGGAATATTTTGTCATATATTGAAAATCCATTTAAATCAGTTCTTTTATTTTGTATTATATTTGGTAAAACTTTATAATTCTTTTATAAAAAAAGGAATAAAAAGATTTTATCTATTCGTTATATTGAAAATGGATGTTGTTTTTTTTTTATTTCAATATTTTATATTGTACTTACCTAGAAGTCAAAAAGTTATTGTTCTAAATAAATAAATTGAAAATATTACAAAAGTAAAAAATTATACTTTCGATTAATAATTATGAATAATAAAATATTTCAAGTACAAAATTAATTTTTAGAAATTAAAATTATAAAATTTGACTTTTGCAATGAAACGTCAAATGTCATAAAATATTAAATCGTATACTTTATAAACCATTTATTTACTTATTTTTATTTATTGTTTACTCGTTGTGTTATATTTGTTATTATTTAATCTTTATTCCTTTCCTCTAGCTGTTTGATTCTGACAGGGACTTGTACGGCGGGCAGGTCCACACTCTTGGCGCGACGGCGGCCATGTTCGAATTCTATGGGATTTCGCCGCGCTTCCGGTGGAAGTGGCTGCAGTTCGGGAAGTGTCGGCCGTTTTCGTGCTAGCTCGGGTGTTCTAAGAGTACCGCCTGTAATTTTTTAAATGTATTTATTAACATAAAAAAAAAACAAAAAATAAATTAAGATTATTACAATCTGCCATAATAATTTATTGCGTATTAAAATAGCTTTGTAGACTGTGAAGAATAACTATACGAGGGTAATAATAAAAAATATTATTATCTTTAACGGAAGGAAAAGAAAGGAGTTTATAAACGAAAAAAAAAACAATGAAAAATAATAATTTATGTTACTATGTTTATTCTAGATATATCATAAATAAGTTGAAAGTGTCGATGTTACTAATTTTAAGACGATTTTTAAAAACATAGGTAAAAAAAATTTTAGTCTAACTTTAGTGTATGGGACTCGTCAACACAAATCAACTCACTATAAACTCGAAGACTTTATCCGCTTACTGGTTCCGTCAGATCAGTTCGGTGGTATAATTATAATACGTTTAAAACGGACTTCCAAGATTTGATTATAATTTATAATATATCGTCATCTCAGTGCATATTCGTCCAAACGACCAATTTACTAAAAGAGTTTTTAATACATACCTGATTATCGACTTTTAAATGGCAATTGTATTGCATATTTTACTTTAAAAAAAAAAAACAAAAAAAATGTATTTTATCTATTTAAGTATGTATATAAAAAAAAGCTTTTTAAAATAGTGGAAAAAACTCTACTGTAAAGTACAACAAGTATTGGTGGTTTAAACAAATAAACACTAAGATACACAGTATAGTTACACGTGAAACGTACAAAAGTGAATTCAATACATAAAATGAAGACATTATGATCAAAGCCTGGTTAGCGAATAAAGAAAGCTTAACCAAAAACTGTAACTTTAAATGTAAATTAAATAAAAACTTTACACAATATAATAAATGTTGTAAAAAATTGTTTTACATAGATAATACATTGTTGCCCGATTTCACCAACAACCCATAAGCTACCACTTACGTATGGGATCCCTAGCTTAAACGTCCCCTAAATTAAATTTCGTTTTACGATCGGCGATACGCCCATATTTCGAGCACGTAAATTTAGGGGGCCTTTTAATATTTAGGTGACCCCTAACTGTCGGTGAAACAGAAACTGTCCCCTAACAGCCCCCTAACCATGCTTAGGGGATCCCTTAAACTTAGGTAACGTTGGTGAAATCACTTTTGATAGTAAACAAATAATAACCAGTTATAATGCGTAAAATACGAGTTTTTTTAATACAAGTATTATTTAAAATATTGTACAATACTAGCTTTTGTGCGTGACACCGCTCGCGTTTATGTATTTTTATTACAAACTAGGATTGCCCGCGGCTCCGCCCGCGTTCTGATGACCAAAAACCAAATTCTTAGGTTTTGCATATTAGTATACTCTTACAATACATTTAGTTACCTTTCCGTCGAGGCGCGTTGTGTTGCGCGTCACACACTTGAGGCTCGTTTTTGGATAAAAAAGCCTCATCTTGAGGAGTTGTCTCACACCCGTCTGCGCGAGTGCGAGCGCCGAGCTTTGGACTGCTGGGGGAGAAATAAAAAATATAGATAATTATACAATAGAGTAGCGAACTAGACGTTGTCCTGCCCAATGGTTATCTTTATGTTTTGGTGATATAATCGATTTCAACAATAAAACAAATACTATAAGACAAACACAAGAAAAACATCATAAAAATCAGCCCCACCGTTCAGTTCGAGTTCAGTGACATATACACGTACAGAAGAATTACTATATAAGTAATTCGTACAGGATAACATCCGTTGGGTTCGTTAGTAATAAACATATAAAACCTAGGCCCTAATGCAACGCCACCTACAGGGTATAGTTGTGAATCTAAACCATCTAAAGAATAATCCCTCAACGACCGCGGACACGCCGGCGTTACAGTTAACAATGAATTTCTTAGAAATTTAATTAATTTATTTTAGAAATTTACCTGGAGGTGTTAAATCATAGTTTTCTATATATTTTCTACAGTCCCTAAGCATTATCCGGAGATCGTGTTTGAGCAATTCTCTATTGAGTAACTCAAAGATGAACATCGGCTGATGCGTCACATTAAAAAAACTATTCTAGGGGTTTGTCTTTACGTGTTGTATTAATTATAATGATAATTTAATGTATTTATTATTTAGTTTATTATTTATTTATTTATTATAAAGGCTTACTAACTAAATTTACATAAAAAAAAATTATTTAACATTATAATTTTACCTATTTGTATATAAATTTAATTAACACATGTAGAAGTATGCACAGCTTTTTATAGAATTATTCCATTTATTACGACTTATTAGTTATAAGTTATTGATATTGATAAGTAATCGTTCTGATTCTACATCAATAAATTATTTTTGATTTTGATTTGGACTTGTCCCCACGCAAGCCTTCCAAAAGATCGGGCTTCTGTAAGCATGTGGAATTCAAAGAGATGGAAGTAATAATAGATCATACCTCTGTTCCATCAGTAGCTTGGTGAGCCTGGCGACCTCCGCGCGCAGCTGCTGCAGCTCGCGGTCGCGCGCGCGCGCCTCCTGCGCCGCGGCGCGCTCGCGGGCGGCGAGGCGCGCGCGCATGTCGTCGAAACTGTTGTCAAACGGTTAAACTTTCTAGCTATCACTACACTTTGATACATGTCAAAAAACAATATAAATACTGTGGCTGTACAATCCAATGTTGTCCTTGGGAGTAGGGTTCCCTCTGGGTTTATAATAAAACTCCAGTGATTGTATTGTGGTTAAAAATTTATTCAGTTCAATACCTTATATACATATCATCTTAACCAAACGATAGCGCGTTTTAGATTACCCCCAATGCCATCTATTAAAAATATATGTACAAACATTTAAACATTTAAATTTTGAATACAATGGAACGCGCTTTTATACTATGCCAGTCCTAACTTATCGTATAGAAACTTATACAGTGGCTTTTAGGCCTGTCCGTTTTGCGAACGTCAAAAAAATTATTAGACAACTAAGCAGGTCGGAACAGTTGTTCAATTTAATACTCTTGTTAATGGCCTCAAAGCGTGAGTTTAGCACAGATTACTTCACCAATATCACGTAGAATGGAGCAGACACGAATGAGATTGGTCGGTACATATAAGATCATACACTTATAAATTATAACGTGTAAAAATTGTTATTTTGTAGCTGTCAGTTTATTTTCAGAGGGTAGAAGTAAGGAGAACCATCTTATATAGGAGATAAGTTGAAAGCTTTAAGATCAGTTCAATTCTTTTTTTTTCGTAATGGCTTAGAATTGCGTTAACAGACTCAAATCATTCTTTCATTGTCCAGGAACTGATCATGAACTTGGGAGGCCTTGGGCTAAGACATTTTTGGGGACTCAACTTATTGTCATTTTGCATTTTTATGATCTATGTATAATAACAGATGGCATTAGACGAAATTAAGATAATGCTATTGCTTGCTTCTGATTAATTGATCTCAGAAGTCGCGATTTTTCGCGATTTATTTTAATATATGGTAGCAATCATGGTCACGGAAGTCTTTCCCGTGACCATGATTGCTGTAAAGCAGTAGCAAAAAATTTTCAGGATCTTCTACTTTTTTTATCTACTTTCGAAACAAAAATCTACACACGCACGCTTTTGTAGGTAATATAAAATAGAAAGAAACATAAAATTTAACGCACATTTTTTTAAATAGTTAAAAAAATAATATAACAAAAAAAATACAAAAAAAAAATATATTACTCACAGTTTCCTCAAACAAGCACACTTTCTCGTCAAATGCTCGATCTGTTCCTGCGAAGCTTTCGACGTCTGTTTGAATTTGGAAGCATCTTCATCTCTTTTCTCTCGCAACTCTTTCTCTCTCTCCAACGCTTCTCTTTGTTAGTTAGGAATGGAGTCAGTAGAAGTATTGAAGTTGATTGTTTGTGTTACAGAATAAGTGTGTCATAAACTTATGCTTTTTTTTAAGTATTTTGACGAAATTTGAAAAAGAGAATGTAAAAAATAGTTTAACTAAATTTTTTTTTTAGTTTAGTCACTTAGTGTCTATATATTTTTACCTTAAGACAATTATAAATATGAAAAAAATAAAGATTATTATATTTACTTTCTTAAAATTTAAGGAATAATAAAAATGCAAAGATATTAAATGAGTTTTATTAAAAAAAAAACAACTATAAAGATACCTCAAGCGTTAGATTTGAGCAATTTCGATACGAATATGAATAAATATAAACTAAATATTAAAAGGTAACGACAATGTTCATATTTATTTAATTAAATTCGTACAAAAATGAGACATTAAGTAGTTTGAAAAATAATAAATTTATTTTGGATTTAGTCTAAACAAAAAAAAAAACAAGAAAAAGATTTTTTTACAATTCTCATTTTTGTACAAATAAAAAAATGACTAGAAAAATGAAATAATTTGATACAAATACTTAATAATGAATAAATATTTTCATGTGTTCATGAGTTTTGTAAACATCAGTCCAAATAGGCAGTATAATATTTTTTTAAATAAGATTAAAAAATAATGATAATATTAATAATTTACAACCGCTATGTTAATGCATATTAAAGAATTTATAATATATTTAAACAATTAAAAAAATATATAAAAAATACAACTGACCAAAAAAAAAATACAATAAAAATGTTACTACACAAAATTCTTACAATATACATTATTTTGTTTATTTTATTTGAATACTGAGTTAAGAATGTGTTTTTTGACTTTTTAAAAAAAAAATCTATGTTATTATTTTTTTTATATAGTTAACCATACATCCATTTAGCTGAATTTAACCAATTTTTCTCTCAAATGCAAACTTTAAAGAAACTTATTAAAAAATAACGTGTGTGTGTACTTATGTACGCACGTAACAAGTTATACTTCTTTGGCGTAACAGAATAAAAATAGCTAAAGATTTCATCCCGTATGTCACAACTCACTGTTTGTAAAAGGAATGCAGCTAACTTCATCATGTCGCTTTTTGGCTGTCGGTGGGCGCGCGCATCGTAAAACTTTTACTCTCATATTTTTCTCCAAACGCACCAAAAGAAGTATAACTTCAAAAATCTACACTTAATGCTGTTAATTTCTACGAACGTTTTCGTCTATTCCTTATATAAAGTAATGCAGCGAGTAAGAGCAGTAAGACGAAAGCCAGACGCAGGGAGAAGATCGCGCACACGCACGGGGCCGCTATCCATCGTTTACTGTACAATAATTATATTTTTTTTGTGATTTTTTTTAAAGTAAAATACATTTTTTTTGTAATTTTTTCTATCTTTTCTCTGAATCCAGTATGAACGGACCTTAGCTAAATTTATTAAAAAAACTCAATAAGTAATAAGGTAATAAAAATGGATATGTTTAGCTTTAAATTGTTATTTTATTCAACCCGCTCCTTAGATTCTGTACTAACATAAGATGCCTTGCTTTTTAAACCAAAGATCGTAAGTTCGTTTACTTGTAGTATACAAATATATAATAACTTTTTTCTAATTTCGCCATTGATATTTTTTGGATTTTTAAAAGTATAATTAAAATATTTGGTGCTCAAGTGCTTTTGAATAGACTAATGTACGTGCATCTAATAAAATAATAGATTTAAAATAATTAATAAGTAAACATTAAACTTAAAAGTTTATACATACTGGTATCAAACCATTTCTAATAAAAAAAAAAAATATTTTGGAAAATCATCAGAAGGACAAGATATTAAAATTATTGTTTAAAAAATATTAAGAAAAAAAATAAGAAAATAATTTCAGATTTGAAATACTGCCTTTTGGACTCATGTGTCATATGAAGTTGATAGTGGTGTTGTGTTTTGTGCAATTCATTGTGAATTAATGGAATTATAAAAAAAATGCGTACTCTAAAATAAATAAAAAAAATACATTTTTTTAAAATAAAATAATAAATAAAAATATTTATATCATGATTTTGTTTATTAAAAATCATTTATACATACATATCTATCTTTGTCTCTCTTAATGTGAGAGAAAGAGATGGAGCATAACTTTAGAGGACGCTTTTTATTATAGGAGTAATGGATGAATAAATTTTGACATGCACTTCGGTAGCCAAATTCCGTCCAAAAGACAATATTTATTTTTAAAATTAGTTAAACACACTTTAAAAATTAAATTTTATTTATTATTTAATTAATTTTAATCTGTGGACTAATTTAGCTACCAATTTTAATTGGGGGTCAGGATGAGAGTTATCAGTTAAGTTAGTGACAATTGCTATGGAAATTATAAAAAATAAAAAAAGTTTCAATAGTAAGTAAAATTATCGAAAAATGTTTGTTATTGTTCATTTAAATATTGGAAAAAAAAACATTAAAGGATCAAAACTGATTACAATATTAAAAACAAAAAAATGAAAAAATAAAAAAACAGTAATTTCCATAGCAACAGAATAACAAACCAAAACACCATGAACGTGCAAATTAAAAAAAAAGTTATTTTTTTTTACCTCAACTCCTGCTCAGTGACGGCGAGTGTTCGTCCACACGCGGCCGCTTTGTTTGATAGATCTTCATAATCTGTTCCTTTTGATTCTATTTGGGACTTTAGTTCTGAAAAAAAAAATGTATTAAGTTATTTATTTCTAGCACACTAAAGAATTAATTCAATTTTTTGTTATTTAGCTTTTAGGGTTGCCAGTTGGACACAGATTACTTCGCCAATGTCGAGTAGAATGGAGAAGACACGGTATAGATAAGGTATTAACTGGTTAAAAAAAGAAATATTCACACCGAAGGCTCTTTGCATATAAAATATGAACAATTAACATTAAAGAATTATATATAGTACTAGCGACTCACATTGGGTATGTTTTAATTTTTTTGAGCGGAAACCTAATTCTTTTTCTAAAATAAAAGTAGCCTATGTTACTCCCTATAACATTAGCTACCTTCCAGTGAAAATCCCGTTAAAATCAGTCCAGCCGTTTCAGAGTTTATCCGGAACAAACAGACAGACAGACAAAATTTTTCAAAATTGTGTTTTTCTTATTAGTACCGTATATAATTTCATATGCATTTAGTAAAACGCTGTTTTTTTGACATTACACACAGACACTTGAATTTTATTTATATGAGAGAAGACAGCTGATGTTATAGGGAGTAACATAGGCTACTTTAATTTTAGAAAAAGGATTAGGGTTCCGCTCAAAAAAATTCAATATTACACCCTATATCTTCGAGAGCAGGCTGACTGTGTCACTAAGTATGTACGTGTATGTATGTGTGTATGTGTGTATGTGTGTGTGCGCGCCTCACCCTGTATCTCCCGCAGCAGGTCCGCGTCGCGGCGCGCGCGCTGCTCGGCGCCCTCCTGCCGGCACTCGCGCTTCATGCGCTCGAGACAGTCCTCCTTGTCCGACATGAACCTCTCCCACTGCTCGTCTGGAATGTATTGTCGTATTATGATATAGTAACTGGGTTTTTGGCCACAAGTACAATTTTCTTTTTAATTTGGCTTAAAAACAAAAAAAAAACAAAAAACTGGAATAAATACAAAAAAAAAATGACACAGAATTGCTCGTTTAAATATATTAGTTACTAGCACTGCCCGCGGCTCCGCCCGCGTTCAGATGACCAAAAACCAAATTCTTAGGTTTTACATATTAGTATACTCTTACACTACGGCTATTGTATTGTTTCTCAAAAATGATATATTTTCCCGCGGTAAAAAGTATCCTATATGTTGACCCGGATAACCAGCTATCACAATACCAAATTTCATCAAAATCCCTCCAGTGGTTTTTCTGTGATGCGGTAACAGACAGACAGACAGACAAAAATTCTAAAAACTATAGATTCGGCCTCTGTATCGATAATTATGTTTATTTCAATAAGATTTTCCAAAAAATATTTAATGTACACATTCCGCTTAGTTACAACTTTATTATATGTATAGATTAATGGCGCCTTATGGTGGAAACCTTCAAAAATAGTCATGATCGGAAATTCAGATAGAAAAAAGAAAGGGCTCATTTCAATTCGATCTGAAAAAAAAAGTCACGTGCGCAAACTAGTACATATTTAAACTTTCGGACAAACTATCTCCCTTTGGTTAGTGATTAGAATAAGAATGGAATGGGAATGGCCACCGTAACTCAAAATGGCTAGGGAAAAATATTGATGTTCTCCAGACCGATTCCGGCCACGGCGGCCAATTTCATTGAGACTAGCCAACTGCGCAGGAGATATTATAGTGCAGCGCGTGTGAGAGAGAGCGCAGACACAACGTGCACTCTCTGTCCCTGTCACTCTCATACTCCGGTGGGACGACACGAGACACGACCAGTGAGAGTTAAGGCGCAGGACCGACGGCTTTACGTGCTCTCCGAGGCGCGGGGGTGAAACACCGCCAACTTCCCAACTCCGGGCTGTTACTGAGACTTACTATACAGAAATACTCAAATAACTAAACTTGGTCCGACCCGGGACTCGAACCCAGGACCTCCGAGTGTGCAGCCGTACATGCTAGCCGCTACACCACCGAGGCAGTTAAAAAAATATTATTATTAGTTCAAACCATGAAGATTAAGCATTTACCCATTTCCAGTCGATGTTTCTCCTTCAACTTATTGATCTGATCATTCTTTTCAGCAATGAGAGTGAGTCTGGTCGTTTCTAGAAGCTTCTTGGCTTCATTCGCGGCGGTCGACGCTTGTTGCTCTACTTCACTCAATTTCTCCGACCATTCTTTATTTATTTGTTCTGGAATTTTTTAAGAAAATTATCAATGCAAATTGTAATATTTAAAATTAACAAAACATTGAATTGAATAATCTATACTATTATAAAGAGGTAAACTTTGTGAGTTTGTGATGTTGTAGGGGGTAATCTCTTCCCCCCCAACGTGCGTTCACCTTGTCGTGGTGGGGGGGCTCAGTAGTGCCCGGCAATCCAACCGGGCGCGAAGCCAAAAAACGCACAGGGAGGTGGCCCACTTCGGTGGGCAGTGGGAGGTGGCCCTCTTCGGAGGGCGGTGTAATATGCGGGTTGCTCCTGGTACTTCTCTGATAGCAGAGTGGACTGTGGAGCAACCCCATGGTTGTGGTGGTCTGCTTCGGCAGACCTGCCGTCGGGGCGTCGTAGTTGAATGCGTAAGCGATCCTGCGACGCCCCATTAAGACGGGGGAAGGTTTTGTTGGGTTTTAGTGGATAGTACTGGCTTCGCCGGTGAGTCCCACACCTCGTGCGTAAATGCATTTCCCAACGTTAAAAAATAAATAAAATAAGGGGGTAATCTCTGGATCTACTGAACCGACTTAGATGAAAGTTGGTTAGAAGATAGTTTGAGACCCTGGGAAGTATATAGGATACTTTTTGTCCCGGAAATCATGCCTTAAGGGGCTATAAACGGGGATGAAAGTTTGTATGGGGAATCCATCAATAGGGAAGAACCCGAGCGAAGGGAGAATGAGTCGCTAGTATAAAATATTAGTTTGAACAAAAGTCAATAGATGGCGTGCGACGTATAAATTTGTTATTGATGTTTATATAAAAAATACATGTGTGGATATATTTAAATTTGCTTACTATATTATGTTACTTATTAGTGATTCGCCCTCACTGATCCCACGGAAATCGTATGTTTTTCCGGTATAAAAAGTAACTATGTGTTCCAGACTATAATCTATCTCTGTGCCAAATTTCATCCAGATCCGTTCAGCCGTTTTGGCGTGATGGAGTAACAAACATCCATCCATCCAAACTTCGGCATTTATAATATTAATGGGATAGGATAACGGAATCGATAATGACGCCATCTATTGACATTCATTTGATTTTTTCTCTCTTTATTCTTAAAACCACGTGTTATCTAACTCACCTTTCTCCTTCTCGAATCTCTCATTCATAGCTTCTATGTTGTTCGCATAATTGATATCAGCTTTATCCAACAAATGCCTGAGCTGCAGGATGTCCCAGTCAGCCTTGCTGTGGGCTTCAGCTAACGCGCTTTCGAACTGCGCTTCTTTGGAGGCGAGTACCTCTTTAAGGTTTTCGAACTGAAATATTTTATTATGTTTTTTTTGAAGGTAGGAAGGAAAGTAGTCTAGTGGTAACACCGGAAGGACACCGGGTGAAGCGGGTTCAAATCCCGGGTCTCGCAGCTCTGTTGCGCTCTGATTTTATGTACGAATCATTTCTAGCATGATTACTTCTTTATGAGTCTTATGGTGAAGGAAAACATCGTGAGGAAACCTGCATGTCTGAGAGAACCTAGCAAGTTTTCGTAAGACGTGTGAAGTCCGCCCGCACTTGGCCAGCGTGGTGGAGTATGGCCTGATCCCGAAGGGAGACCCGTGCCCAGCAGAGGAATGTTCTTTTTTTTATTTGCGTAAGTCTAACACCCACAGACATACGTCCGTGCCTTTTTTTGAGCATTTTTATGTTTTGTTGGTATTCGTGCATGTACAATTTCAGAATGAAATGATGTTGCGAAGGAAAAAGAAAAGTTGAACAAAACTATGGAGTCGGGTGGACTTTACGAGTCTACCCAAATGTTCGCAGCGGAATGTTCAGAACGGTTGAATACATTTAAAGCAAAATCCCCAACTCACCCTGGTCCCCAGCTCCCTCATCTTCCTCTCGGCGTTCCTGGCGTCCCGGTCCGCGTCCGCCCGCAGCGCGGCGCAGGCGGCGCGCCCGCGCTCCGCCGCCGCGCGCTCGGCCGCCGCGCGCGCCGCCGCCGCCAGCGACAGCGCCGCGCTGTGCTCGCTCTTGAGGGCGGTTATGTCCTGTGTGTGCTGGGCTTCAAGACGGGCTATTGCCTGGATGATTTGATTATAATAGATTAGAGAGATACTTTAAAAGTTTTCATTAAAATTTGAAAATGAAATTAAAATTCAAAATTGGAATAAATCTAGGAAAAACCTCTATAATATTAGTATAGATCAATTGATAAGACAAAAAAAACATTAATCACAACTTTTCTAATCACTCACTTCTAAATGCTGTTCTTCCTTCTCCTTCTTAATCTGAGCTTCCTTCTCTAACAAATCTTTCAATCTATGCACTTCTAGCTTTAAAGCTTCTTCTCTTGTCTCAATCTTTTGTAGCTGAAGGGCGAGGGATTGAACTGATCTTTGCTGTTCCGACGCGAGACCTCGAAGTTGCTGGAGTTCAGCGATGTGAGAGGGAGTGGGAGGAGAAGATTTGAGTTGTTCTAATGATGCCGATAGCTGGAATAGAGAAGTAGCAGTATTTATTGTCAGTAACTATACAAGATTAATTAAGAGTCGATTTTTTTTTTCTAATGTTGTGTGTAAAATCCGGATAAGAATTCAACAGTTTGATATCATTGAACTGATCTGATGGTGAAGCAATTGATCACTTCAGTTGGCTATATACAATTTTTATGATAAAATTAATTTTTGCACTTACCTCCTTCTTCTCCCTCTCAGCATCCCTCGCTCTCTTCTCCAACTCCCTCATTTTCCACTCGCAATCAGTCAGTATGCGCTCTGCACGAGCCGCTGCTTGAGACCTGGCTGATTCGTGTGCTTGACGCCACTTCTCTGTGTTTGCCTCTGCTTCTTCTAATGCCTGAAAAAGTAAAAAAATAACGTCAAAATTTACTAGATTTTTATTTGGTTTAGTCCGTCTTTCTCTTTCTTTCTTTTACCTCTTTAGCCTTCTCCTCCTGCTGTAACTTCTCAGTCTCCAACCTCTCCTTGTCCTTCTCCAGAGTTTGCACCCTCGACTCCAGCTCTGCTCGACGTGTAACTGCATCTTGCAGCTCTGACCGAAGATTTCTGATGGCATCCTCTTAAAATTAAGAAAAGATATAAAATTTTACTGATTCTTGCTATAATTCGTCACAGGGACAGACAAAAATATTAGACTTGCTATCTCTTAAAATGTAAATTTTAAAACAGTCCTATATATTTCACAAACAATCTTTTGACCAAACGCGCTTTATTGGCAAATGCGTGGTGGACTATAGCCTGATCTCTCTCGCATCGACGGGAGGCTCTTGCCTCAGCAATGGGACAATAAAAAGGGCTGAATAATAATATAATTAGTTAATTATCATTAAAATGACATTAATAACCTATTCGTCTCTGTAGCTGGTCAGCCAAGTCCGCAGAACATCGTCTCGCAGCCGAGAGTTCCTCTTCTAAAGACCGACTTCTTTGCCTCACAAGCTCTGACTCCTTGTAGGCTGCGGCTAAGTCGCATTTTAATTCTGTCAAAGAAATATAATTAATTAGTTTTTGCCCGTAACTTCACCAGTGTCAGGATCAAAGATAACCTATGTCCATTCCCAAGATGCAATCTATGTCCTTGGCAAATTTTATCAAAATCTGTTTAGCTTTTTAAGCATGAAAAATAACAGACAGAGCTACTTTCATATTTATAATATTAATAGGGATAATGTGGAAGTTAGAGTGTCATAAAGCTGTATTTTGCTTTCATATACTTATAATTGATTGTCGTATTTTTTGTGACGATATCATCGCCAATTGTAAATCGACTTTCATTTTTTTTAAATGACAGGGATTTTTTTTTTAAAGAAATTGCTTCATATTAATTTAAAAAAAAATCTGCCAGTGGAATATCTGCTTTTAGGTAATTTTGAAGCTTTTCAATAATAAGCCATTTTTGTTGCAACTTGGCATTTAACTCTCAGTCAGGTATATCAAATATTTTCTGTAATTACAACATAATCTATACATAATGTACGTTAAATCGCTCTTTCAAAATTATGGTGACGTATGGTTACAAATACACTTTCAGGCAATAGCTAACAAAACCTTGAAAACTGGTTTTATTTGAAGTTAGATTTCTACATTTCCAAACAAAATATCTATTTAAAAATTCTGGGAAACACAATAGAAGTAAAATCAACAACAGTTTTGTCCATCTGCCTGTCACACTCTATCTCCAGATTGTTAGAATACGTAAACAGTCGAAGTATACTGAGTTACACGCACTTTGGAATGGGCAAACAGAATCCAATAAACATTACTAGCTTATTTACAAGAGTGTGAGCTATTTTATCTGTTATTGTTTACAAATCATCCGGAAATGGCGTTTCAACTTCTACAATTACTTCTATAATTACTTTTATGATTTGTTATAGTGATAGTTTTATTTAAAATGATTAATGGCCGATTTCACCAACGTCACCTAAGTTTAAGGGATCTCCTAAACATGGTTAGGGGGCTGTTAGGGGACAGTTTCTGTATCACTGACAATTAGGGGTCACCTAAATATTAAAAGGCCCCCTAAATTTAGGTGCTCGAAATATAGGCTTAAAGACGATCGTAAAACAAAATTTAATTTAGGGGCTAGTTTAGGGAAGTAGCGTAAGTGATGTTGGTGAAATTGGGCATTAGGCCTGCAGTTTTCTGGTACATTGTTTTCAGGTTATATAAGTCCCGCTGAGTTTCTTTCGCCAGTTCTTCTCAGGTCTGAGGCTTCTTCTTTCCGAACTGATAGTAGACTCATGACGGTCAGTAAACAATTGTAATAATTTAATGCTGAATAAAATATTTTGAATTTGAATTCGAGGTATCTCTTAAGGTTTAGCCAGCGTTAGACATGTCTAAGAACAACTCGATAGAATCAGTTATTGTTTTATCCCGTGGAAATGAAAGATTTTCCTGTAGTAAAAGTGACCCGAGTAATAAGTTATCACTGCACAAAATTCAGTCAAAATCGGCCTAGTACTTTTTGCGTGAAACGCGAACACACAAACAGACAAACAGACATACATACAAACAGGCAAATTTTAAGAAATATTCTTTTGGGGTCTATAATATTCTGTACACAATACGTTACAGTCATTGTTTTTCAAAAATATTTCATGTACAGATTTCGCTAGGTTACTGTTTTATTATATATATATATATATAATATAGATTTTGAAAATCTGTTAATTTTGCTTCAATACCATATAATCAGTACATCACCTTTGTTAACACGCTATTTTGAGGGAGTTTTCAAGGTTGCGTCTTTGTTTCGTGTTGTGACACTTCAGAGAACAAAGTGTCGGTTTAAGCCAAGAGAAAGATTCACGTTGTTTATTGCGAAATTATTTACCTTTTAGGATTTGGCAGATAATCGACCACATTTGTAAGACTGTCTGTCTGTATGTATTTCGTATTAGAGAGTAATTGTTTTTTTTAATATTATCATTATTATTATTATTTTTACATATTATATTTCAACTTTTATTTACCTCGCTTTGCTCGGGTTCGTCCCTAGCTTGATTCCCAATACAAACTTTCATCCCCATTTTTACACCCATAAGGGATGACTTTTGGGATAAATAGTATCCTATGTCCTTTCCAGGGTTTCAAACTATCTTCTTATCAAGCTTCATCTAAATCGGTTCAGTAGATCCAGAGATTACCCCCTACAACGTCACAAACTTTACCTCTTTATAATATTAGTATAGATAAAGAAAATTCCAAATATACTTAATTATATATCATACTTAATTATATACATATAATAAAATTGTAACCAAGCCATATCTGTACATTAAATATTTTTTTGAAAATCTTGTTAAAATAGACATTATTATCGATACAGAGGCCGAATCTATAGTTTTTAGAATTTTTGTCTCTCTGTCTGTTACCGCATCACAGAAAAACCACTGGAGGGATTTTGATAAAATTTGGTGTGGTGATAGCTGGTTATCCGGGTCAACGTATAGGATACATTTACCGCGGGAAAATATCACATTTCTGAGAAAAATACAAAAACTGCATTGTAAGAGTATACTAATATGTAAAACCTAAGAATTTGGTTTTTTGTCACCTGAACGCGGGCGGAGCCGCGGGCAATGCTAGTAATATAATAAATCAGCCCTTTTCACCTCCCACTGCTGGGCACGCTTCCTCAATGTCAAGGGAATCCGAATAATTTTTTTTAAATATTATGTTGGACATTAACACCCAGCACCATCTATTTCCATGGTAAGCTACGGGGCCTGTGTTATGGATACCATATAGTTGATACACTACACATATATAATTCTAAACACATACATATTATAAATATAAACACCCATGACTGGAGTACAAACATTACACACACATGAATGCTTCTAGCGGGACTCGAACCCGCAACCGCTGGCACAGCAAGGGTCACTACAAACTGAGCCAAACGTAACGTCATAGTAAAATTATCAATTATGTTTCCAATGCATTAGCTTCTTAGAAAATATATTACACATTTAATAGCAGTTCGAATCACAATCATTATCTATGAAACTTTCTGGAGTTCTCCTGAATTCACTCTCTGGCTCGAAGCCAGGAACCATTGAGAAATCAACGTATTTGTGTTAGTTTGACGGACGTCTTTGCGCTGTTTTATTTAGTGTCTATTGTAGGGTCGCGGGTTCGATTACCATGTGCATCCATGTTGTAATTGAATCTATTAGTATTAGGCAGCAACAATTAGTGAAAGTTATAGTAGATATTTATTACCTCCAATGTAGTGCACGTTGGAGGTAATGAAAGGTAGACAAATGTTCAGTCAGAATGTTTAGAAATCCGTTGATTTTTTGATTTACAAAACTTTTATCAACATTTTACTAACGTTTTGTCGAAATATTTAAAACTAGCATTGCCCGCGGCTCCGCCCGCGTTCAGATGACCAAAAAGCAAATTCTTAGGTTTTACATATTAGTATACTCTTACAATGCAGTTTTTGTATTTTTTCTCAGAAATGAGATAGTTTCCCGCGGCAAAAAGTATCCTATATGTTGACCCGGATTTCCAGCTATCACCATACTAAATTCCATCAAAATCCCGTCAGTGGTTTTTCTGTGATGCGGTAACAGACAGACAGACAACAATTCTAAAAACTATAGATATATCTCTGCATCGATAATAATGTCTATTTCGATAAGATTTTCCAAAAAATATTTAATGTACACATTCGGCTTAGTTACAATTTTATTATATGTATAGATTAACCCGTGTACAGATAAGTCGGTATTAGGCTACCTGTAATTGAAGTCAGAGAAATCGCCATAAAAGCATTAACCGTTTCCATTACCAAGCAGATTGTTATGGTATTTATATATAACTCACGCTCTATCTCCTGGTCTTTTGCTTCAATCTCCTTTCTATACGCAGAGAGCAACTCCCGCGCACGTTCAGCTTCACTACATCTGGTATCGGCCAGCTCAGTCAAAGCCGCCACTTGTGACTGGTATCTGCTTTCTTGGCTTACGAGATCTTTCCTGAAATATAGAAAATTACATTTAATATAGGCAGTGGTAGCCCAGTGGTAACGCGCTCGCTTGGAAAACCGAGTAATGCGGGTTCAAATCCCGGGTCTCGCACCTCTGATATTTTCATGTGCGATTCATTTCTAACATGATGACCACTTGCCTTACGGTGAAGGAAAACATCGTGAGGAAACCTGCATGTCTGAGAGAACCCAGCAAGTTTTCGAAAGACATGTGAAGTCCGCCAACCCGCACTTGGCCAGGGTGGTGGACTTTGGCCTGATCCCCCTCGTATTGAAGGGAGGCCCACGCCCAGCAGTGGGACGTTAAAAAGGGCTGAATACATACATTTAATATATCTAGTCGATGTTTGTTTTTAACAATTTGAATAGCACTACAGAGTCTGTTACGTAGGAGTTGAATGTTGAATGTAAAACTCCGGTGGGATGAAAATTCGGCACGATTAAAAAAAACTATCTTTTCGGATTTTTTCGCGGATTTATTTGGATTTTTGGTTCCCGACGTTTCGAATGCTTTACAGCAATCATGGTCACGGGAGAGACTGAGGTGTTACATGTCTTGAAGGTTTAGTTGTTACAGACAGCCTACCCACAATTAACAAAATGAAAATTTCACCAATTACCTTACAATATTTTTTAACTTTAAACATTTTTTAATTTTAATTAGTTTTATAATTGAATATGGAATATTATTTATTTTGCTGTTATTATTTTAATTAATACAATTTTAAAAATATTAATTAGTAATCTATATTTAGTGTTGCCATTATTATATTTATAACCATAAAGAAAAATATAAAATATATAGTATTAATTATTTAAGGCATATAATTGTTCTATGTGTAATTTAAGAAGTTAAAATTAATTAAGGATAATAATTTTAATTTAGTTTGCTATTATTTAAAAAGAAAATTTACTAAGCATTCGATACGTCGGGAACCAAAAATCCAAATAAATCCGCGAAATAATCCGAAAAGATAGTTTTATTTAAAATGACAAATATTCGCGTAAATCTAAAAAAGGTATTAACGGCACGATTAGTCAAAAATTAAGTGTAGAACGAACCACAAAAAACTTGGCTTACTCTCAGAAACATGGGGGTGTAGCACAGTCAACTATTCAACACCAGGCTGTTACCAGGAAATTTGGAATTTTTGATAGATAAGCCCAATAACTATTGTTGGTCCTCCAACTAAGGATTCAAACCCAGGATTTACGGATCGGCAGCCTTAATGCTAATCACTAGACATTCAAGATAATCCTAAAAGCCAGTACGTGCCAGGTAACTAATAAATAATAATAAATATGTTGGTACATTAACACACAGCACCATCTAGTTCCATGGTAAGCTACGTGGCTTGTGTTATGGATACCAGATAGTAGATACATTACAGATATATAAACTTTAAATACATACATATTATAAATATAAACACCCATGACTGGAGTACAAACATTCGTCCTCATCACACAAATGAATGCCCCAAGCGGAACTCAAACTCGCGACCACTGACACAGCAAGTAGGGTCACTACAAACTGAGCCAAACATGTCGTCTTTGGTTCATTCTTGCGTAAAAAAAAGAAAAATCTAATACGCCATCCAATTAACTTTAATTTTAGTAAGAATTTAGTTCATGAGTAAAACCTCCAACATAATAGATGAGTTAGTGTAACATATGCCTTATGCACAAATTTTTCCAATAAACTTATTTAAGGAAGCAAATAACATATAACTAATTTATTTTTGCAAATCGATCGTGATGCGCGATATTTGCATCTGGTTTTCGAGTAGATTAGAGATAGTTGTTTAGAATAGATTGGTATTTTAGGAACTATTTTTGGAAGCAAAGTAGATAATCAGTTGTGAATCTTCTATGCCTCAGGCATTTTTTTGACTGACTTTGAAAAGATGCTACTTAATTTGGTTGCTTTTTATGGTTTCGTACCGCAAAAGGTATAAAAGGAACCCTTATAAGATCACTCTCTTGTCCCGTCTGTCCGTGTGTCTGTCTGTCCGTGTGGCACCACCGGTTTTCTCAGGAACGGCTGAATCTATACTAGCAAATTGAAATTTATACCAGATACTGAGATCTATAGTCCCTATTAGGTGTCTAAAAATTAAGGTCCTGAGTCAACACGATAAAAAGATACGGGCAAGTTTAGACTTTCGCGAGAACTTGTAAGTACCAAAATTTACCTTAATTTTCAACTTTTTTTATTTATCGGAATTTTCCCTTCACTGGTGCTGTAAGATCTTGCTTTTAACCAAAATTGACAATTCGAGGTCAACCGGAAGTACCCTATAGGTTTTGGGTCGAAAACCTATGGTAGTTCACAGACAAACATCAGAATTCCTTTCCATCACAAACAACAGATTTCCTACAAATTTGTACGGAACCCTCGGTGGGCGAGTTCGACTCGCACTTGTCCGGAAGTTTTTACTTAATATGTAGGTTTTTTAAATGTTTTTTTTTTTTTATTGAATTGGTTAGGTATAGTTAAGAGTTTATTGGTGTTTTATAAATTTCCAGAAAAATTGCACCCCAAAGTTCAACAAAAATCTAACAAAACTTTTCAAAAAGACTTTTGAATCGCCAATTTTACATATTAAAAATTAAATTTCACTTGCTCTCAAAACAAACTCTGACGAATTTTTTTTCTGTTTTTACTGGAGAAACCCATCATGGGATTCCCACCGGTTGACAACAGTAGTCTATAAGAGAAAACTCACTAAAACCACTACGGATCCCACTAACTGCAGGATCGACAAATATTTTGACTAAATTAACTTCAAAGCCTTAAAACACCACCTGATGAAAATCAAACTGGCTACCTTCATCTAATATCTTCATCCAATTTCATTTAAATACAGCATTTGGACCAAATTTCAATCGATTTTGTGTTTAGTCTACCTAGTTTCAAATTTATCTGTTCCCAAGGTGTGGACGTAAATTTAGCATATATCGAGGCCAAGAGTGCATCGACGTTTAACATCTAGAAAATTAGGTTTATGAAGCGTAAATTTTGAAAATTTGCTTGTACATTTGAAACAGAACTGGCTGTAAATATTATTTTGGAAGTTGGTTATCTATACAGATAAATAAAATTGAAGTGTCTGTATGTAATGTCAAAATACCAGCTTTTTACTAAATGCTTATGAAAGTATATATGTAATACGGTACTTATAAAGAAAATTAAAATGTAAGTGTAATTAAAATTATGTAGAAAAAAAAAACATTTTTTTGTTTGTTTGTTCCGGCTAACCTCCAAAACGGCTGGATCTATTTTGACGGGACTTTCACTGGCAAATAGCTGATTCTATATATAGTTATTTAGGCTACTTTTATTTTAGAAAAATCCATGAAATTGTAAATAAAATCCGCGTGCACACTGACCTTTATTTGTATACCTAACAGTAACCTATATGTTATTTACTCCGACTCATAATCTATCTCTGTACTAAATCTCATCCAAATCAGTCCAGCCGTTTTGGTGTGAAGTAGTAACAAACATACAAACATTCGCATTTATAGCTGTCAACTCCAGTAACTCCTGAAGCTATGGACCTTATAATTTCACTACATTAACATCAGAAAACCATTCGTATATCATTTGCTTTGCTTGAACGAATTTACTTTTAATTTCTTCGTTAAAAAATATCTGTTCGAAGAATGTGTTAGCGGTAAATAAATCAGTTGGAGTATGTTAATGTTAGAGTAAACACGCGATAGGTAAATAAGTATTAACTGCTAGCTATAAATTATTGCGAAAGTTTGTATGTTTGTATGTTTGTTTGTTTATTACTCCTAAAACTGCTGTACGAATTGGAATTTTGTACAGTTATGACCTGTTGTCTATACTAATATTATAAAGAGGAAAGATTTTTGTTTGTTTGTTTGTACCGAATAAGTTCCGAAACTACTGAAGCGATTTAAATGAAATTTGGTAAGAAGATAGTTTGAGATCCTGGGAAGGACATAGGATAGTTTTTTACTGGATGTCGTCCCTTAAGAGGGTGAAAATGGGGATGATAGTTTGTATGGGGAAGCAAGCTAGGGGCGAACCTGAGCGAAGTGAGGCCACATGAGTACATTTTATTCATTCACATTATATGTAAGGGACGCGAATCTATACAGATAAATAATTTTGAAGTGTCTGTTTGTAATGTCAAAATAACAGCGTTTTACTAAATGCATATGAAACTATATACGGTACTTATAAGAAAAACACAATTTTGAAAAATTTTGTCTGTCCGTTTGTTCCGGGTAATCTCTGAAACGGCTGGACTGATTTTGACGGGACTTTCACTGGAAGATAGCTGATGTTATAGGAAGTAACATAGGCTACTTTTATTTTATAAAAAGAATTAGGGTTCCGCTCAAAAAAAATTAAACGTACTTATACCGCTAGTAATAAATAAAGAGATAGTAGAAAGAGTATATTTATACATATATATACGTATCATACATACTACCCAGTTTTGTGGTCTACATACGACACGTTTGAACTAGTTAGGTTCCCTCACACATGCAGGTCTCTTATTAGTAACTGGAAATTATTTAAAAAAAAATACATTTTTTTAAGTAATTTTAATTTTTGTGACTTATCCCGGGGCTCGAATCTACGACTTCTTAATTCGCAATCTATACATACATACATATATAATAAAACTCGTAAGCCGAATCTGTACATTAAATATTTTTTGGAAATTTTTATTGAAATAAACATTATTATCGATACAGAGGCCGAATCTATAGTTTTTAGAATTTTTGTCTGTCTGTCTGTACCGCATCACAAAAAAACCACTGAAGGGATTTTAAGGAAATTTGGTATGATGATAGATGGTTATCCGGGTCAACATATAGGATAGGACTTTTTACCACGGGAAAATGTCTCATTTCTGAGAAAAATACAAAAACTGCATTGTAAGAGTATACTAATATGTAAAACCTAAGAATTTGGTTTTTGGTCATCTGAACGCGGGCGGAGCCGCGGGCAATGCTAGTACAATGACGCAGATGTAGCGTATACCCGAAGGTATGACTCATGATATCACATCCAATTCTTTGTTTCTCATGTTTTTGCTCTTTGGCCGTCTGCCATACGCGCAACAGTTCAACTACAGCTTCCTATGTTGTTAGAGCGTATAAAGAATATTTACAAAATATTTACTGTTTATAATTTGCACCGGAAATAATAATAATAATGTTAAACAGGAAATCCCCTAGAAAATGGCGGTGTTAAATAGTTTTTACCACGACTTTGTATTTAACTGCTACATTGATCTAAAGATTGTGATTTGTGAAGTCCTAGGTTTGAGTTCAGGATCTAACAAATATGTAATTATTGATCTTTCCATAAAGAATCATCAGTTGCAGCCCGTAACTGAAAACTTAGTGGTGTTATACTCCCATGTCTTCCAGAGCATGTAAATATTTGTAATTCAAATATAGGCGCATATTTATATACAAACTAGCAGAACCCGCGGCTTCGCTCGCGCTAAAAGTACAAAAAAACCCTCTTAAATTACAAAAAAAAATATCTAAAATTCTAAAATGGTTTCAGGTTTCATATAAAACTTTCATCCGCTATTTTACCCCCTATGTATTGAATTTCGAAAAATGCTAAAACTCGTATTTATTTAATTGTATTGAAGAGCATTAACATCAAGTTCACGTCGAAACGTAGTGACAGATTGGCGTGATTTTTGGTGTGGAGATAGTTGGAGGGCTGCAGAGTGACATAGGCTACTTTTTACCGCGGGAGATTATCTCTTTCCCACGGGAAAACACGTTATAATATAACCCAAAAAAATATTTATGATCAGAACTACTTGAAACTTGGTATTAATGATCTTCAGTAAAATTAAATAAATACGTGTTTTAGCATTTTTCAAAATTCATCTTGAAAGGGAGTAAAATAGGGAATGAAACCTTTTTAGATATTTTTTTTGTAGTTTTAACGCGAGCGAAGCCGCGGGTTCTGCTAGTATTTTATAAACGACGAATGATTATTTTTTATTCGTCCTATTAAAGGACGAATAGACATTCATTTGAAATATTTCGATTAGCATTCACTCTTTTATGACGCAATTTTTTAAAGAATCTATCTAAAAGAACTTGGTATTTTAATTATCTATACACATAAATAAAATTGAAGTGTCTGTTTGTAATGTTAAAATAACAGCGTTTTACTAAATGCATATATAAAATTATATACGGTACCTACTTTAAAGAAAAATACATTTTTTTAAATTTTTGTCTATCTGTCTGTGTGTCTGTCTGTTTGTTCCGGATAATCTCTGAAACGGCTGGTCTGATTTTGATGGGACTTTCACTGGCAGATAGCTGATGTTATAGGGAGTGACTAAGGCTGCTTTTATTTTAGAAAAATAATTAGGGTTCCGCTCAAAAAAATATAAATGAACTTAGGGAGGAACCCGAGCGAAGCGAGGGTGAGTCGCTAGTTATAAATATTAGTATAGTTAGTTCTCTCCTTCAATATCAATCTATCATCATAGATTGTGTTGATGTTCTCCTGACCGATTCCGGCCACGGCGGCCAATCTCATTGAGACTAGCCAACTGCGCAGGAGATATTATAGTGCACAAGTGTACGCGCAGGCACAACGTGCACTCTCTATTCCTGTCACTCTCATACTCCGGTGGGACGACCACTCGACACGTGTGGTTAAGTGAGAGTTGAGGCGCAGGACCGATGGCTTTACGTGCTCTCCGAGGCACGGGGGTGAAACACCGCCAACTTCCCAACTCCGGACTGTTACTGTGGCTTACTATACAAAAGACTCAATAACTAAACTTGGCCCGACCCGGGACTCGAACCCAGGACCTCCGAGTGTGCAGCCGTACATGCTAGCCACTACACCGCCGAGGCAGTTTCAATCTATACATGTTATATGTATGGGTCATTAAGATCATTTAATGGGTTTCGATCATGTGGATAATTAAAAATAACATATGATTACTAACATGCGTCAATCTGTAACCTTGGCTGAAAGTGGAGGACGTGGGATGCTTCACATACTGTTTTGTAGAGGAAATGTGCTTTTTAGTTATTATAATAATCAGAAAACTTGAAGTAAAGCGCTCGATTGGGAAACCGAGTTGAGTGGGTTCAAATCCCGAGTCTCGCACCTCTGATATTTTCATTAGCGAATCATTTCCAACATGATCAGCTTGTCTTAACGGTGAAGGAAAACATCGTGATGAAACCTGCATGTCTGAGGGAAACTTAGCAAGTTTTCGAAATATATGCTCAGTCCGCCCGCACTTGGTCAGTGTGATGGACTATGGCCTGATCACCCTCGTATTGAAGACCTGTGCCCAGCAGTCAGGGAAGTCAAAAAGGGCTTAATCTATACATATAATAAAATTGTAACTAAGCCGAATCTCAACATTAAATATTTTTTGGAAAATCTTAATGAAATAAACTTTATTATCGATACAGATGCAGAATCTATAATTTTTAAAATTTTTGTCTGTCTGTCTGTGTAAATTTGGTATGGTGATAGCTGGTTATCCGGGTCAACATATAGGATACTTTTTACCGCGGGAAAATATCTCATTTCTGAGACAAAAATACAAAAACTGCAATGTAAAAGTATACTAATATGTAAAACCTAAGAATTTGGTTTTTGGTCATCTGAACGCGGGCGGAGCCGCGGGCAATGCTAGTATATTATAAATTAACGTCCCCCGCCAAGTTCAGATTGCGGTTGATCGGACTAACTTCAGAAAGTACTGTACGGATTTTCATAAAGTTTTCACCAATAGAAAGTTAGGAACGTTAGGAAGCTATCATTTATGGATATTTTACGAAAATAATTGCTCATCGATCGATCGAATCGATCATGTTTTTGAATCAAGTCAGAAAAATCTTTCCTTATAAAAGATTCCAATATATTTTAAATGCGAAGAGCATCTAGTTAGTCTATACTAATATTATAAAGAGACAGAGTTTGTTTGAACGCGCTTATCTCAGGAACTACTAATTCGATTTGAAACATTATTTTTGCATTAGATAGCCCGTTTATTGATTAAGGCTATTTCATATGATAAAATTCTAATTTGGTCGAATCTGTACATTAAATATTTTTGGGGAAATCTTATTGAAATAATCATTATTATCGATAAAGAGGCCGAATCTTTAATTTTTAGATTTTTTGTCTGTCTGTCTGGGGACGCATCACGAGGAAACCACTGGACAGATTTTGATTAAATTTGGTATGATGATAGCTGGTTACCCGGGTCAACATATAGGATACTTTTTACTGCAGGAAAATATCTCATCTCTGAGAAATCTATACAAAACGTGAACGTTAAAATAAATGCGAAAGTTTGTGTGTGTAGGTGTGTAATCGTGTTTGTTACTCTTTCACGCTTGACAGCTGGATGGTATGTTTGAAGTTTACAAATATACATACTATGGCCGCATAATGTAATAAGTGAATGCACACATATATAAACACAATAATTTCTTAGATCTACGCGAGTATTTGTCATTTTAAATAACACTATCTTTTCGGATTTTTTTGAGGATTCATTTGGATTGTTCGTTCCCGACGTTTCGAATGCTTTACAGCAATCATGGTCACGGGAGAGTCTTATGTTTTAGACGTCTCAAAGGCATTATATAGTTTAAGATACTACCACCCCCACCACCACCACCACCAAATAACAAAATGAATTAAAAAAATACAAAATTTGTAAGGTACTTTGGTTCCATTTCTGTATTTTTTGAATCCGAAAAGATAGTTTTTTTTTTAATATATAAACGTGTTTGTACTGTTACACAATATATTCAATATTTATATAATTTAACAATACATTACAATAAATTATTTTACTATACGAGTATTATCCATGTATTAAATGTGTTTTTATTTAATTATAGCGTCCACACATTAGAATACGACGCATCGGTATATGAAATGCGCAAGCGCAACTCGTGATGCCTTTATGCGTCTTTGGAACCAAAGTGGAACAATAAATTATTATTGATAGAATTATTCTCTATGGATGGTTTCGATTAAGATAAAAACAAGACTAAAACTGAGATCCTTATTGTATCTTTGCTTTAAGTCAAAGTTGTCTATGCAAAGTGAAGTTTACGTTCCGAGATTTACTTTTAATCATTTTGATTTCCCAGATTTTATTGTATTTCAGTTGGTTCGATTACCGCTTCAGGTAACCTTTTTAAAGTTTATTGAGGAAGGCTATAGGCTATACATACATACATTACAATAAATAGGCGACTCATCCTCGCTTTGCTCCGGTTCGTCCCTAGGTGCGTTTTAAAGGGTAGTATCGAATAGATATATATTATATCGATAGACTATATATTATATGATATATAAGTATAGCCTATAGCCTTCCTCAATAAACGGGCTATCTAATGCAAAAAGATTTTTTTTAATCGGGTCAGTAGTTCCTGAGATTAGCGCGTTCAAACAAACAAACAAACTCTACCTCTTTATAATATTAGTATAGATAATTACATTTATCGAATATTTAAAGAAAGTAACTTACGAGTTTTCATCATTTCCTTCGATTTCCACGATTTCCGCTTCACTCTCTTCATCTTCTTCATCTATTTCCTCTATTCTCTCCTCTTCACTCTCCCCACTCTCTTCACTCTCCCCGCTCTCTCCACTCTCCAAAATACTCTTAACATCACTAGTTTCATCACCCGACTCGTTCTTATCACTCTCTATAAAACCACTATCACTATTATCACCAGATATTCTTCGCAAATCGTCTACACACTCAACTTTAATTATAGGTTCTGTTTGACAAACATTAATAACAGTTTTGTTATCATTTTTTGAAACTAAATAACCTCCTAACATTTCATCATTATCTGGCAAGTCTTCTAAATATTCAGCTTCTTCAGAAGTAAGAGATTCGAAGGACGAATCCACTTCTTCATCAGTTTGCTGTTCACCATCATCGAATATTATGTGTTTTCTAAACGTCACTCGTTTTTTGCCATTGTCTGAGCGGTCGTCATCAGAACACCCTTCGGTATCTGACCGCGGTGGTTTCAAATTAGATTTTCTTGTCGCAGGAGATTCTGAGTCCTCAACATTTTCTTCCTTTTTATCCTCATCGTGCAACAATTTCTGCAATTCCCCCCTTAAATCATTTTTATACGAATCTATATTATTATCTATACTCTCATACACTGGTGCCTTTTCTGGTTTACTGTCAACGGTTCCCATTTGCTTTTCATTTAGTTTATCGATGGTGCAGTCAATACTTTTGGCTATTTCACGCAGTAACGCTTCAGCATGTTTCTTGTCTTCCTCATCCGGGTCATTTGAAACGTATACTAAAGACACGTGTTGTTGTTTAGGATCAGGTTTGGCGTATTTTTGCAACACGAGCGCTTTGACGAAGTCGGCTGGATCGTCAGACGGCTCGCTCGCGTCTTGATTATTTTTGGCCGGCGTAGGCGTTGCTTCAATTTTCACATCACATTTATCCCGTTTTCTTTTATTTCTTTTTCGCTTGCCCATGATTTGTAATAATGCGCCGACACCTGATTTTTGATTGTAATTTGTCGTTGGTATGAGGAGGTTAACTACATCTTTCTGTGGTTTTTCGTTCGTTACGTCATTTACGTGCCGCGAAGCGCGGGAGTCGACTGACGGTTTCGGGATCGGCTGTTTTCGGGAGCTTTCGGGCGACGGCTCGGCTTTCCCGCCTTTCCGCTTGAAGAAGTTGAACATGGCGGGCTGTCAAAGTCAAATTCGTTCGGAAATGTGTTTTATTTTATTTACAAATAAATAATAATTAAAACCATTTATTAAAGAATAAAATAATGATAAACAATAAATAACGCTTATCGAAATTTACGCGTTATTTTATTGTACTGTTTGCGATATTTTGCGCATTAAAGTGTTTATAATTTAGTATTGAAACGTAACTAATCTGTTATCGCGATTATAGTAAATTTTCCGTGGAATATACGTAATTAGTGCATAGAAATATAGTTTTCTTTAACAAATTTCGTCGAACTAATCATTTGCGTTATTAAACTAAAAATAGGTGACCGTCATGGCATGATATTAATCGTACTGTCTTCTGCTGCTAGGTCACCGGTAATGTTTTTGTATAATTACAAAAAAAAATGTTTTGGCTAATTAAATAATATATATTAGTTAATTAATTAAATATTCGATTAAAAATTCTAAATACTATATTAGTATTTAGAATTTCCGATTAAGTTTGGTCTAGATATAGCACTGTAGTGTATAAGTAGGCAATTATTATTGAAAATACGGAAGAATCACTAACATTTTCCATTCTCTTAATAAAAAAAATAATTTCTTGCAATCTATTTCAAATCGCTACAGTATATTTATAAAATAAAGTTCCCGCCGCGTCTGTCTGTCTGAACGCGATAAACTCAAAATCTATCGAACGGATTTTCATACGGTTTTCACCAATAGGCGGAGTGATTCATGAGGAAGGTTTATATGTATAATTCATTAAGATTTTGTGTAAATTGATTGAAATATGACGATGTTTGTTAAAGATGTCGATGCTTGTCGTGTTTAATTCAATATCAATACAGTTATTATTATCTCTGCAACAGACATATTCGCCAGATGTCCATAAAAATAGAATATAAGATGAAACCCACAAGTGAGTTATAAAAAAAGCAATAAATCTAATGCATATTTTAGATCAAACGTGGTTGAGTTAAGAGAATCGTTCCATCTTTTATTGTTTTGCGGTCAAATAACACGATCTGTAAATATTTACAGTATTAATAATAATATGCTACTGACTTATCTACATCGGCTTTTTGTGCATTTCTACGCGTTTTGCGACTTGATACATATATAATTAAGTTATAAAAACTTTAAATCTCGGCTTAAAAATGAACTAAAATGAAACGAAAACAAGCTCGCGTTATCCAGTCGAATCTAACATCGTATGAATCATCAAAATCGGTTAAGCCGTTTAGTAATTACGAAAGAAAAGAATCGAACATATGTACTAGTAGTGGCTCACCCTGGTTTTGGTTGAGTTCGCCTCTAGAAAAACAAATCTATCCCACGGGATACGTACATTTTGCCGAGATAATAACCCATATGCTATTCCAAACTATAACCTATCTCTATACCAAATCTCATCCAGATCCGTTCAGCCGTTCTAGCATGATTGATTAACAAACATCCATCCAAACAACTTTACTTTCATACATACATACATATGTACATACAAGTCAAATTTTAAACCCTTCCTTTGGGCTTCACCACAGTCGGGTAAAAAAATCCATTTTTCTTCATATAGTAATCCCACTTGACCCAAAAAGATCGAAATCCTCATGTAGATAGTTTATGAGTAAGATAAATCAGCTTATATATATATATATATATATATATATATATATATATATATATATATATATATAAATATATTCTCTCTAATTCATGTTCTCAGTTCTACTGATTAACTGTCATAATTTGTTATAATTACATCTATACATATAATAAAAGTAGAGGTCGAATGTCTGTACATAGACAAAAAATGCTAAAAACCGAGTCAGGGGGATGTAAGAAGACAAATAGAACAAACCCAGATTTTTTTCAATTTTTTTGTTTCTCTGTCTGTTTGTCTGTTTATCTGTTTGTCTGTTTGTACGGGCTAATCTCCGAATCTATTGGACCAATTTAGATGAAATTTGTAAAGTGTATTTGTTTGTTTGTTTGTCTTTCTTTCACGTCGAAACAGCTTGGCGGATTGACGTATTTTTTGTGTGGAGATAGTTGGCGGGCTGGAGAATGACATAGGCTACTTTTTACCGCGGGAGATTATCTCTTTCCCAGACGTTATAATACAACCCAAAAATATTTATGATCAGAATTACTTGAAACTTGGTATTATTGCTCTTTAATAAAATTAAATAAATACGTGTTTTAGCATTTTTCGAAAATCATCCTATAAGGAGGTAAAATAGGGGATGAAAGTTTGTATGAAATGTATATATATATATATATATATATATATATATATATATATATATATATTATATATATAAATACTCATGACTGGAGTACAAACATTCGTGCTCATCATACGAATGAATGCCCCCAGCGGGACTCGAACCCGCGACCGCTGGCACAGTACGTAGAGTCACTACAAATTAAGCCAAACGTGTCGTCTTATATGTATGTTTCTCATGTAAAAGGCTTATTCGTAATGAGAAATAAAGTTCTTTAAGCCGAAATTTTTTGCCAAAACCGATAAGCAGTATGGAAGATGTACTACGCCGACCCCAAGTGATTGGGAAATTTACATGGAGATGATGATTTAAATTATTTTGTGGGTGAATCATATCTTCAACTTGGCAGTGAAATGCAACTTGCATTGTCATACGGTTTAGTTCACAAAGCAAATATTTGCTTCCTTTTATCTTTGATAATTCTCAGCGGATATTTTCGTTGGACGGTGATGGATGACTTCGAATCAGTGTTTCCCAAAATAAGATCCCTAAGAGATTCTCTGTCGGCCAATAAAATATAAAGGAATATGTGAATGCCCTTTCAACCGACTTTATATATATATATATATATATATATATATATATATATATATATATATATATATATATATGTATGTATGTATGTATGTATTCAACCCTTTTTAACATCCCACTGCTGGGCACGAGTCACCCTTAAATACGAGGGGGATCAGGCCATTGTCCACCACGCTGGAAAAGTGAGCGGGGCGGATTTTTCTTTCAAAAACTTGCTGGGTTCTCTCAGATATGCAGGTTTCATAACGATATTTTCCTACATCGTAACACAAGTGGTAATCATGTTGGAAATATCAGACGTAAGATACCCGGGATTTGAACCCGCTCCACTCGGTTTCCATAGAGTGTGTGTTACTACTGGGCTACCTGTGCAAGCGTGTTATATTTCAAGAATTCTTCTTTTAATGACTAGGTAATAATCTAATATAGGCAATAGTCTGATAATAATCCTTTCTTAGATCTACACGAATATTTAACATTTTAAATAAAAACTTTTCGGATTTTTTTGCGCATTTATTCTTAAAACTCTAATATATCCGACTCGCTCTTGGCCGATTCCTTGTAAAAAACTTGCAACAAACTTACGAAAATACGTTTAATTTTTATAGCTAAGGAAAATTCCAAATTGAACGTCGATATTTGTATAAATATTTTGATTATCTGTAACGTTTCTCGAAATGAACACTTTAATCTTCTCGCACTTGACTTACTTCGAAGTTCGCTTCGAATGCCTATAAATAGGGCCGTGGATGCATCCGTTTTCGTTCATTTATATTGTCGCTAGGGATGTACCAATTATCTTTAAAAATATATATAATTTTAGTTTAACTACACTAGTATCTCGCGCCGGATTTGCTTGATTTTGCTTAAATATTAAATTTCAAGTTTATACACATTTACTCATTTCACCATTGTAGAGCTTATTGTTTTTATAGTACCATTTTTCACCCAGAATTTGAAATTCGAACATTCATTATTAAAAATTTGAGGAAAACACATATGAATAGAATTTACCTGTTTATATATAAAAAAAACTAAATATTTCCAAAAAGTTTATTAGTAAAATAGTACATAGAATAACGAAATTGGTCAAATAGCTACTTAACAGAAAGAAAAAAAGAAAATCGTTTGACAAACAGAGGAAAAAAGATATTGAACTGTTTTGTCTTTGCCTATTTATATATATTACTAAATTCATATACCTATTTTTTTTTGGCCTACGGTAATTTTATGTCAATTTTAATCAAAATAATTTCAGACATTACGCTAACCTAGAACCAACTATATAAGCATACGGAGTTATATCTTTAAACGAGCAATTCTTGTATATATATATAATCTGAATCTCGGAAACGGCTCCAATGATTTTCATGGGAAAACGCGTGTTTTTGCGTTTTTATGCTGTTTTCTTTTGCATTATTCCACGCAAAATATGGTCGGTAATTTGCACGCTCGGGCATATGCAGTGTGGTCAAGCGGCCAAGGTGCATGATCAACAATCACAGGTGTCCAGGTTCGAATCTCGGTCGCATACAAAATTTTTACTTTTGATTTTTTTTAAATATTTATTCAAGTATTTAGTTTAAAAAAAATTGCACTTTAGGCCAAAAACTCCGAGCGAAGCTCGGTAGCCCAGGTACTAAGTATAAAGTATAGTGATGGCTAGCTCTGGTCTGATTAGCATTGTCTATCTGAGATCGTAGATTCGATATCTGTGATTTGGATGGGTCATACATACATATGTTTTAGTCTAGTTAAAACAACAAAGAATGTGATAATTAAAATACTTTATCAACTGACAATCTGTTTATAATAACAATACATAAATAGTTTTAATTCTAATGCCTATCTCTGACTAAATGGTATATTAAACTCATAAATCTATCATCAAAGTGCGTCACTTACGCGATGCCAAACTCTATTTTTTGTTACTTCGCAACACGTTGTGAGAGTATTAAGCACGTGGGTCTGACGTTTCATTGAAAATTAAAACGTATTAATATTTATTTATAAATTTGTTTATTCTGCTCCTAAGCCTGTAACTTTCGTTAATAAAACGGTTATATATCGCAAAATGAATATTTTTAGAGATTAGAGAGTTTAAGCAAGCGAAAAGACGTACAATCCAATCTCTTTTTTTAATAAATTTATAGCCTGTGTAACAAAACGTGACTCTATATG